AGAACACACCATGCACTAACATCTAGAGAACACACTAACATCTAGAGAACACACCATGCACTAACATCTAGAGAACACACTAACATCTAGAGAACACACCATGCACTGACATCTAGAGAACACACCATGCACTGACATCTAGAGAACACACCATGCACTGACATCTAGAGAACACACCATACACTGACATCTAGAGAACACACCATGCACTGACATCTAGAGAACACACCATGCACTGACATCTAGAGAACACACCATGCACTGACATCTAGAGAACACACTAACATCTAGAGAACACACCATGCACTGACATCTAGAGAACACACTAACATCTAGAGAACACACCATGCACTGACATCTAGAGAACACACCATACACTGACATCTAGAGAACACACCATACACTAACATCTAATCATAATATAGTGTAGGACCATACCTATATAAGGCATATTTATACTTTTTTCTTTTCAAAATACCAAACAGATCATGCATTTTAGCCATGCCTCATTTCACTCAATTTGACAATTTATAGCTCTGCTCTGCAAGGGTTGATTCAGTGAGAACAGCACCACCTACAGGCCTGGCATATGTACTACAGCGTCTCCAGCGCTTTGGAACGGCAATGGCCGTGGCTGTCTCCTCCTGATTGGTGGAGTTGGGCCAATAGCCGTAGCGCCACCGTCCTGACGTCAGGACAGTGTTTCAAATCTGGATCAGTTTTTATCAGATCCGTTGCAGCCCCTTTTTTTAGAGATTTGGGTATGGAGGAAAATAGAGAGGGTTGTGTTTTCTGACACTTGGTGAGTTCCCTGGAACACCGGGGACACATATTCATGTAGAAAAGACGTACACAAGTGCATTTTGCATGATAGGTCCCCTTTAAATTAATGTTTGTTTATTTGAGTTATTAAACATCGTTAAGCTATAACTTCAGGACGGACTCTTTTAATTGAAACGTGTCAAAGTGCTGAGCCTCCCTTCGCCTCTAGCGACTGTTCATTGGGTGTTTTCTCGCTACATTAAACTATTAAATATCTCACTATAACCCTAATGAATGTCAGGTGAACACTGCTGCAGTACCACAACGCAGCCACAGGGTGGTGCCAGAGAGACACTTCAGACTGAGCATGTTTAAATACAAACAGGGTGAATAATATAATACAATATTTAACTAACAGATGTCACCATGAGACTTCTCTACTTCATTACTGACGTTAGGACAAATATTTTTTATATTAAAAGTTTTCTGACAGGTTTTATTTAAATGAGGCAACTTATAATTAAAGTTAGTCAAATAAACTCCTTGATGTGGATTTAGAATTTCCATTAAACTGAAAGAAGACATGTAAGGGAAGATAAATAACCCAAAATATAAAGAGTCGCGTCCTCAAAAAAGTGAGGAATGTATAATGTCAGGTCCCCACAAGTGTTGAAGTACAAACATCTGTGTGTGTATTTATAAGCATGTGTGTGAGGGTTTGTCTGAGACACAAACACACATGGGTTTAATTATACAGTGTATGACATGTAACCCACACACACACACACACACACACACACACACACACACACACACACACTGCTGTCTTTGTTTTTATTCCAGGCTATTTCTAAGGAGCACAAATTGGAGCTATTTCATGTTTTTGTACGTTTCCTTTAGCAGAAACTCTGTGTTTCATTCAGATAAAAAGATTTGTCTTTGTCCAGAAGTTCTCTATGGAGTTGTCCGAGAAACATTCCTCACATTTCCTTACTGTAATTTGGTCGTTTGTGTGGAGAGATTTGAAACTGGTCAGAAGGGCGTGGATTTAATTATGTGGTCTTTGGAGGAACATTTACGTGTTTTTACTTCAACTGAAAGCTGAGATGGTTTTGTATAAATCACAAATAGAGGTTCAGTGATGAGAGGGAATAGATGGTGAGAGTGCATTAGGGTTCAGAACATTACGGTGAGTTTGTTGTTGGTCTCTTTCTCGTAAATCTGTTCTAAATAAATAGAGTACATTTCCAGTCAATTTGTGACTTCTCTCTCCAGTACATTTGAGTTTTCTTCCCTTAAATTTGAGACCATTTTTACGAGTGTTTTACTGGTATATCTTCTATTTGTTCTCGTCAATTAGTGAGTTATTTTCTCGTGAATTAGTGAATTCTTTCTGGTAAATATATGAGTTTCTTCCAGTACATTTTAGTTTATCTTCAAGTACATTTGAGAATGTATTTTTCCTGAAATGTGTGATTATTTTAATGTGAATGTGTTAGAAAACCTAATAGAAAACATATGTAGACATTTATATCTACATATTCAATCTGTTAAAGCACGGTTCCTTAATCCTTTCAGACCTGGTTCCTCTGTGGGTTCTTTACTGGTTCTGGTTCTGGTTCCACTTCCTGTCCGTGAACCCCCCCCCCTGACGCAGAGCAAAGTGTTTCCATGAGTCAGCATCTTATCATTCTCTCCACGTCTCGGTGAGCTCACCTCAGGAAACCAGACGTTTATCGTCCTGGAGTCTACAGACGTTTTGTTCAGGGGATTATTTTATGATTCTGGTCTGAGGAGGAGGGAGATCTCCACCAGAGGAACACTCAGAATGTGTTTCAGAGCGGAGAAACAATCTAAGTCAGACGTCACAGCGAGGGTTTGAAGCGTGGTTACTCACCCAGTGTTTCACCTCCAGAGTATATAACATGCTGAGTCACAATATGACTCAGCATTTCATCACTTCCTGTCCCTTGGCCTGGAGGTCAATGGTTTCTGGATGTGTTTTTGGTTGTTAGCCTAAAATAGGCTGTCGTTAAAATCTGAACGTGAATCATTTGCCAACAAACACTTTAGTTCTTTTCAATCCATAATAACATGAACAAGGAAAGTTGGATCTCTGCGTCTCGTTATGTTTGTTCAACTCTACAATGAACCCTACCTCAGTCTCTCAGTGCGCTGAACCGTCTGGGATCCAGCGGGTCGGTTCTGTGTGACGAGGGGATTGGGTTAGAATCCATTATTTCCATCTAGGGTCGCCTGGCTCACTGTTATCACACTCACACACACACACACACACACACACACACACACACACACACACACACACACACACACACAGACACACACACACTGTTATCCCTGAGCTCTCACACACACACACACACACACACACACACACACACACACACACACACACACACACACACACACACACACACACACTGTTATCCCTGAGCTCTCACACACACACACACACACACACACACACACACACACACACACACACACTGTTATCCCTGAGCTCTCACACACACACACACGTCCTTCTTCTACTCATTCAGTGTAATGAGACTCCTTCCAAAACACACACACACACACACACACACACACACACACACACACACACACACACACACACACACACACACACACACACACACACACACACACACACTTTTATCCGCCTATGGAGGGAATTTCCAGATGGATTCATTCAGAGTTTCGGAGACCTCCCACTCAGTCAGAGAAAACAGAAACCAGAGACACTCCCTGAACAAAACGCTCAAATATTTTCAGTAACCCCCCCCCCCCCCCCCCTCACCCGACCTTTGACCTGTTTACGCTCAGCTGCTGTTGATAAAGCTGCTTCAGTAAAGTAAGTGTCTAACTAATGTTATAAATACAAATACTTCTAAAGAGAGGATTGTCTCTACACTCTAAAAACAACGTGTAAATAAAGCACAATAACTACAACAACAAAAACAACAACAAAAGTTCTAATAATAATTGAAGATTTAACTCGATTTTTAAATCACGATTTATAGCTCAGTTTTTTATTTAAAAATAATTCACATTAGTTTTTTTCATTGTTTTATTTGACGGCTGCTGAGGTTTGATCGGCTGCTGAGGTTTGATCGGCTGCTCAGGTTTGATCGGCTGCTCAGGTTTGATCGGCTGCTGAGGTTCGATCGGCTGCTGAGGTTCGATCGGCTGCTCAGGTTCGATCGGCTGCTCAGGTTCGATCGGCTGCTCAGGTTCGATCGGCTGCTCAGGTTCGATCGGCTGCTGAGGTTCGATCGGCTGCTGAGGTTCGATCGGCTGCTCAGGTTCGATCGGCTGCTCAGGTTCGATCAGCTGCTGAGGTTCGATCAGCTGCTGAGGTTCGATCAGCTGCTGAGGTTCGATCAGCTGCTCAGGTTCGATCAGCTGCTCAGGTTCGATCAGCTGCTCAGGTTCGATCAGCTGCTCAGGTTCGATCAGCTGCTCAGGTTCGATCAGCTGCTGAGGTTCGATCAGCTGCTCAGGTTCGATCAGCTGCTGAGGTTCGATCAGCTGCTCAGGTTCGATCAGCTGCTCAGGTTCGATCAGCTGCTGAGGTTCGATCAGCTGCTCAGGTTCGATCAGCTGCTGAGGTTCGATCAGCTGCTCAGGTTCGATCAGCTGCTCAGGTTCGATCAGCTGCTCAGGTTCGATCAGCTGCTCAGGTTCGATCAGCTGCTCAGGTTCGATCAGCTGCTCAGGTTCGATCAGCTGCTCAGGTTCGATCAGCTGCTGAGGTTCGATCAGCTGCTGAGGTTCGATCAGCTGCTGAGGTTCGATCAGCTGCTCAGGTTCGATCAGCTGCTCAGGTTCGATCAGCTGCTCAGGTTCGATCAGCTGCTCAGGTTCGATCAGCTGCTCAGGTTCGATCAGCTGCTGAGGTTCGATCAGCTGCTCAGGTTCGATCAGCTGCTCAGGTTCGATCAGCTGCTCAGGTTCGATCAGCTGCTGAGGTTTGATCAGCTGCTGAGCGAGATGGGATGAAAAGCTCCAGGAAGGTGGGAGGAGACAAAGGGAGGAAGGAGAGGAAGGAGAGGACAGAGGGGGAGGAGTGAGTGTTTCCTCCCCCCTCTGAGAGGAGGAGGAGGAAAGTTGTGCTGCGAAGAGAAAAGAGCCGGCCTGGAAATCTGTATAGTGAGGAAGAAACAGGGAGGAAGAAGTGATACAGACTGAGAGGAAGAAGGAGTGAAAACAGAGGAAGAGGAGGAGAGGAAGAAGAGGAAGAAGAGGAACATGGGATAACAACAGAGAGGAAGAGGAGGAAGAAGAAGGGGAAAAGTGAAGAAGGATTCAAAACCAAGAGGGAGAAGGAGTGAAACCAGTCGTCTGCTGGTGGAGGAAACAGGACGTTGGGTTACTATGACATCATCAGATTATGTTTTCATGATGTCATCACTCCGTTCCCCCCGGTGACGCCCCTCCCCCCTCTCCACATGGCCAGTTACCTGCTGTGTTGGGGGGGCGGAGCTCTGGAGGACCGCTACCTGTACTCCCCACCCTACCCCGCCGTCTACAGGTGATAGCAACAACAACAACAACAACAACAATAATATCTGGAAGAAAAAGTCAGAATATTTTGAGAAAAGTCAGAATTTTGAGAAAAAATTCGGATTCATCCGCATTTGAAAATAGTCCTCACGAAAAGCACCATTTTCTCATTGTTTGATCAAATCTACAGTAAGAAGCTCTTTTAGGGTGAAAAGATATATAATTGTGTTTTTAAATATTCAGTAGGAACCACAGACAGGAAGTCAGAGTGTGTGTTAGTGTGTGATGGTGTGTGTTAGTGTGTGTTGTGTGTGTGTCATTGTGTGGGGGAGGGGGTGTTGAGTGGGGGAAGTGGTGTGTGTTGGGTTGTCATTTGTGGGTGTTAGTGGGTGGGAGGGTGTGATGGTGTGTGTTGGTGGGTGTTGTGTGTTGTTTAGTGTGGTCGATGGTGTGGTGGTGTGTGTGTTTGGATAGTGTTGCGTGTGTGATGGTGTGTGGTGGGGGTGTGGTATCGTGTGTTGCTGGTGTGTTTGGTGGTGTGTGCTGGTGTCGATGTTGGTGGTGTTTGGTGTGTGTTCGTGTGTGTTGTCTTCGTGTGTGCTGGTTTGCTGTGTTGGTGTGTGTTAGTGTGCTGTGCGGGTGTTTTGGTGTGTGTTGTGTGTGTTAGTGTGTGATGGTGTGTGTTTGTTGTGTGTGTTAGTGTGTGATGGTGTGTGTTGGTGTGTGTTAGTGTGTGTTAGTGTGTGATGGTGTGTGTTGGTGTGTGTTGTGTGTGTCATTGTGTGTTGGTTGTTGTGGTTTGAGGCTTCAGGCTCCATTTAGAAATAACAAGTATTTGGCAAAGAACAAATACCGCCATCTTTATGTTGTGAGAAACGTATAAAACTGAATATATATATTGGAGGAGTTATGGTCTGTTTCACTTCCTGACAGAAACCGTTATAGCGTGTAACGGCGCTAAAGGAGAGTGGGTTGAAGTACATGGGAATATATTTTTGTGATTTCCCGTCATATCAAGTACTCCACTGGTTTCCACGGCTACCTTTCGGGTACCGTGACGTCTGTAGAACGTTTCATTCAGTTTGGATCGTCTGATATTCTGCTTCTGTCTCGACTCGACTGCTGGTCTGAGTTTCCTGCGTCCTGTTGGCTGAGAGGCTATTTCTGTCTGGGCTGTGTGGCTGGAGGAAGCCGCCAGAAACATCCGGACACACACACAGTCACACACACAGTCACACACACAGTCACACACACATTCACACACACACACAGTCACACACACACACAGTCACACACACCACACACACACACACACACACACACAGTCACACACACAGTCACACACACAGTCACACACACAGTCACACACTCACACACACACACACACTCACACACACACACACACACAGTCACACACACAGTCACACACACACACAGTCTCACACTCACACACAACACACACACGCACAGTCACACACACAGTCACACACACAGTCACACACACCGTCACACACACACACACACACCGTCACACACAGTCACACACACAGTCACACACACCGTCACACACTCACACACACACACACACCGTCACACACACAGTCACACACACAGTCACACACTCACACACACACACACACACACAGTCACACACAGTCACACTCAGTCACACACACACACACACACACACTCAGTCACACACACAGTCACACACAGTCACACTCAGTCACACACACACACACACACACAGTCACACACAGTCACACACAGTCACACACGCACAGTCACACACAGTCACACACACACACTCAGTCACACACACACACACACACACTCAGTCACACACACACACACACACTCAGTCACACACATACACACACACACAGTCACACACAGTCACACACACACACACACACACACACACACTCAGTCACACACATACACACTCACACACACACAGTCACACACAGTCACACACAGTCACACACACACACACACACACATGTAGTGTGTGTGTTTTGTCAGAGCTGTGGTCTATGAGTATGAAGCCGGTGGTGCAGTCTTTGAGTGGCTTTGCTCTCGTTGACCGTAGCGTAGAGTCCCCACAGAGTCCCCGCAGAGTCCCCGCAGAGTCCCCGCAGAGTCCCCGCAGAGTCCCCGCAGAGTCCCCGCAGAGTCCCCGCAGAGTCCCCGCAGAGTCCCCGCAGAGTCCCCGCAGAGTCCCCGCAGAGTCCCCGCAGAGTCCCCGCAGAGTCCCCACAGAGTCCCCACAGAGTCCCCACAGAGTCCCCACAGAGGCTGGAAGTCCTTAAAAAAGGTTTATTTGATTATTTCCAGATAGCTTTGAAGGATGTGTACTTACAAACAGGATGAACATTTTAAATATATGTCATGTTTTCATTTAGTTTAATGCTTCAAACACAATTTGAGTTTCACAATAACATGTGATTTAACGTGATGAAGAGTACCAGTAACGTGATGAAGAGTACCAGTAACGTGATGAAGAGTACCAGTAACGTGATGAAGAGTACCAGTAACGTGATGAAGAGTACCATTAACGTGATGAAGAGTACCAGTAACCAGATGAAGAGTACCAGTAACGTGATGAAGAGTACCAGTAACGTGATGAAGAGTACCAGTAACGTGATGAAGAGTACCAGTAACGTGATGAAGAGTACCAGTAACGTGAATGAAGAGTACCAGTAACGTGATGAAGAGTACCAGTAACGTGATGAAGAGTACCAGTAACGTGATGAAGAGTACCAGTAACGTGATGAAGAGTACCAGTAACGTGATGAAGAGTACCAGTAACGTGATGAAGAGTACCAGTAACCAGATGAATGAATATCTCATTTACCACTGCTTCAAGGGGATGGACCGTGTGGTGACTATTCATTATAACAAAGTATATCTGCTTCGAGGGCTTGATCTTTACTGAAACATCTCCCTCCCCGCACTGAGCCGCCCGCTCTGCATGGTGAGGTCTCTCAGTGCTTCAGGTGTGTTTAGAGCTCTGCATGGTGAGGCCTCTCTCAGTGCTTCAGGTGTGTTTAGAGCTCTGCATGGTGAGGTCTCTCAGTGCTTCAGGTGTGTGTAGAGCTCTGCATGGTGAGGTCTCTCTCAGTGCTTCAGGTGTGTTTAGAGCTCTGCATGGTGAGGTCTCTCTCAGTGCTTCAGGTGTGTTTAGAGCTCTGCATGGTGAGGCCTCTCTCAGTGCTTCAGGTGTGTTTAAAGCTCTGCATGGTGAGGCCTCTCAGTGCTTCAGGTGTGTTTAGAGCTCTGCATGGTGAGGCCTCTCAGTGCTTCAGGTGTGTTTAGAGCTCTGCATGGTGAGGCCTCTCTCAGTGCTTCAGGTGTGTTTAAAGCTCTGCATGGTGAGGCCTCTCAGTGCTTCAGGTGTGTTTAGAGCTCTGCATGGTGAGGCCTCTCAGTGCTTCAGGTGTGTTTAGAGCTCTGCATGTGAGGCCTCTCAGTGCTTCAGGTGTGTTTAGAGCTCTGCATGGTGAGGTCTCTCTCAGTGCTTCAGGTGTGTTTAGAGCTCTGCATGGTGAGGCCTCTCTCAGTGCTTCAGGTGTGTTTAGAGCTCTGCATGGTGAGGTCTCTCAGTGCTTCAGGTGTGTTTAGAGCTCTGCATGGTGAGGTCTCTCAGTGCTTCAGGTGTGTTTAGAGCTCTGCATGGTGAGGCCTCTCTCAGTGCTTCAGGTGTGTGTAGAGCTCTGCATGGTGAGGTCTCTCAGTGCTTCAGGTGTGTTTAGAGCTCTGCATGGTGAGGTCTCTCAGTGCTTCAGGTGTGTTTAGAGCTCTGCATGGTGAGGTCTCTCAGTGCTTCAGGTGTGTTTAGAGCTCTGCATGGTGAGGTCTCTCAGTGCTTCAGGTGTGTTTAGAGCTCTGCATGGTGAGGTCTCTCAGTGCTTCAGGGTGTGTTTAGAGCTCTGCATGGTGAGGCCTCTCTCAGTGCTTCAGGTGTGTTTAGAGCTCTGCATGGTGAGGTCTCTCTCAGTGCTTCAGGTGTGTTTAGAGCTCTGCATGGTGAAGCCTCTCAGTGCTTCAGGTGTGTTTAGAGCTCTGCATGGTGAGGCCTCTCAGTGCTTCAGGTGTGTTTAGAGCTCTGCATGGTGAGGCCTCTCTCAGTGCTTCAGGTGTGTTTAGAGCTCTGCATGGTGAGGTCTCTCAGTGCTTCAGGTGTGGTGTAGAGCTCTGCATGGTGAGGTCTCTCTCAGTGCTTCAGGTGTGTTTAGAGCTCTGCATGGTGAGGTCTCTCTCAGTGCTTCAGGTGTGTTTAGAGCTCTGCATGGTGAGGTCTCTCTCAGTGCTTCAGGTGTGTTTAGAGCTCTGCATGGTGAGGTCTCTCTCAGTGCTTCAGGTGTGTTTAGAGCTCTGCATGGTGAGGCCTCTCTCAGTGCTTCAGGTGTGTTTAAAGCTCTGCATGGTGAGGCCTGTCAGTGCTTCAGGTGTGTTTAGAGCTCTGCATGGTGAGGCCTCTCAGTGCTTCAGGTGTGTTTAGAGCTCTGCATGGTGAGGCCTCTCAGTGCTTCAGGTGTGATTAGAGCTCTGCATGGTGAGGTCTCTCTCAGTGCTTCAGGTGTGTTTAGAGCTCTGCATGGTGAGGCCTCTCTCAGTGCTTCAGGTGTGTTTAGAGCTCTGCATGGTGAGGTCTCTCAGTGCTTCAGGTGTGTTTAGAGCTCTGCATGGGTGAGGTCTCTCAGTGCTTCAGGTGTGTTTAGAGCTCTGCATGGTGAGGCCTCTCTCAGTGCTTCAGGTGTGTGTAGAGCTCTGCATGGTGAGGTCTCTCAGTGCTTCAGGTGTGTTTAGAGCTCTGCATGGTGAGGTCTCTCAGTGCTTCAGGTGTGTTTAGAGCTCTGCATGGTGAGGTCTCTCAGTGCTTCAGGTGTGTTTAGAGCTCTGCATGGTGAGGTCTCTCAGTGCTTCAGGTGTGTTTAGAGCTCTGCATGGTGAGGTCTCTCAGTGCTTCAGGTGTGTTTAGAGCTCTGCATGGTGAGGCCTCTCTCAGTGCTTCAGGTGTGTTTAGAGCTCTGCATGGTGAGGTCTCTCTCAGTGCTTCAGGTGTGTTTAGAGCTCTGCATGGTGAAGCCTCTCAGTGCTTCAGGTGTGTTTAGAGCTCTGCATGGTGAGGCCTCTCTCAGTGCTTCAGGTGTGTTTAGAGCTCTGCATGGTGAGGCCTCTCAGTGCTTCAGGTGTGATTAGAGCTCTGCATGGTGAGGTCTCTCTCAGTGCTTCAGGTGTGTTTAGAGCTCTGCATGGTGAGGCCTCTCTCAGTGCTTCAGGTGTGTTTAGGAGCTCTGCATGGTGAGGTCTCTCAGTGCTTCAGGTGTGTTTAGAGCTCTGCATGGTGAGGTCTCTCAGTGCTTCAGGTGTGTTTAGAGCTCTGCATGGTGAGGCCTCTCTCAGTGCTTCAGGTGTGTGTAGAGCTCTGCATGGTGAGGTCTCTCAGTGCTTCAGGTGTGTTTAGAGCTCTGCATGGTGAGGTCTCTCAGTGCTTCAGGTGTGTTTAGAGCTCTGCATGGTGAGGTCTCTCAGTGCTTCAGGTGTGTTTAGAGCTCTGCATGGTGAGGTCTCTCAGTGCTTCAGGTGTGTTTAGAGCTCTGCATGGTGAGGTCTCTCAGTGCTTCAGGTGTGTTTAGAGCTCTGCATGGTGAGGCCTCTCTCAGTGCTTCAGGTGTGTTTAGAGCTCTGCATGGTGAGGTCTCTCTCAGTGCTTCAGGTGTGTTTAGAGCTCTGCATGGTGAAGCCTCTCAGTGCTTCAGGTGTGTTTAGAGCTCTGCATGGTGAGGCCTCTCAGTGCTTCAGGTGTGTTTAGAGCTCTGCATGGTGAGGCCTCTCTCAGTGCTTCAGGTGTGTTTAGAGCTCTGCATGGTGAGGTCTCTCAGTGCTTCAGGTGTGTGTAGAGCTCTGCATGGTGAGGTCTCTCTCAGTGCTTCAGGTGTGTTTAGAGCTCTGCATGGTGAGGTCTCTCTCAGTGCTTCAGGTGTGTTTAGAGCTCTGCATGGTGAGGTCTCTCTCAGTGCTTCAGGTGTGTTTAGAGCTCTGCAATGGTGAGGTCTCTCTCAGTGCTTCAGGTGTGTTTAGAGCTCTGCATGGTGAGGCCTCTCTCAGTGCTTCAGGTGTGTTTAAAGCTCTGCATGGTGAGGCCTCTCAGTGCTTCAGGTGTGTTTAGAGCTCTGCATGGTGAGGCCTCTCAGTGCTTCAGGTGTGTTTAGAGCTCTGCATGGTGAGGCCTCTCAGTGCTTCAGGTGTGATTAGAGCTCTGCATGGTGAGGTCTCTCTCAGTGCTTCAGGTGTGTTTAGAGCTCTGCATGGTGAGGCCTCTCTCAGTGCTTCAGGTGTGTTTAGAGCTCTGCATGGTGAGGTCTCTCAGTGCTTCAGGTGTGTTTAGAGCTCTGCATGGTGAGGTCTCTCAGTGCTTCAGGTGTGTTTAGAGCTCTGCATGGTGAGGCCTCTCTCAGTGCTTCAGGTGTGTGTAGAGCTCTGCATGGTGAGGTCTCTCAGTGCTTCAGGTGTGTTTAGAGCTCTGCATGGTGAGGTCTCTCAGTGCTTCAGGTGTGTTTAGAGCTCTGCATGGTGAGGTCTCTCAGTGCTTCAGGTGTGTTTAGAGCTCTGCATGGTGAGGTCTCTCAGTGCTTCAGGTGTGTTTAGTCTCTCAGTGCTTCAGGTTGTGTTTAGAGCTCTGCATGGTGAGGTCCTCTCAGTGCTTCAGAGGTGTGTTTAGAGCTCTGCATGGTGGAGGGCTCTCTCAGTGCTTCAGGTGTGTTTAGAGCTCTGCATGGTGAGCCTCTCATGCTTCAGGTGTGTTTAGAGCTCTGCATGGTGAGGCCTCTCAGTGCTTCAGGTGTGTTTAAGCTCTGCATGGTGAGGCCCTCTCAGTGCTTCAGGTGTGTTTAGAGCTCTGCAGTGTGAGGCTCTCTCAGTGCTTCAGGTGTGTTTAGAGCTCTGCATGGTGAGGCCTCTCTCAGTGGCTTCAGGTGTGTTTGAGCTCTGCATGGTGAGGCCTCTCTCAGTGCTTCAGGTGTGTTTAGAGCTCTGCATGGTGAGGCCTCTCTCAGTGCTTCAGGTGTGTTTAGAGCTCTGCATGGTGAGGGCCTCTCTCAGTGCTTCAGGTGTGTTAGAGCTCTGCATGGTGAGGCCTCTCTCAGTGCTTCAGGTGGTGTTTAGAGCTCTGCATGGTGAGGGCCTCTCAGTGCTTCAGGTGTAGT